TTCTTATTTCACTTTTAGATTCAGTAATTTTAGTACTTCAACTTATTTTCAGTTAGTTGCCAAGGCAGCAGTTATAAGTTTTTCAACTATTTTAACCTATTTATATAATGTTGAATATTCAGCATTGTATTTTGCTTTATTTATTTACATTTTTATTATTTTTCATTTTAGTTTACCATCACAACACTGGAATTCTCTCATCTAAATTTACCGTGGGTTTTATGTGAATTAAATTTTGTCTTCGTGCTGATCCACAGGTGATCATTCGGATGTGTAAAATCATCGACAAGACGTGTCTATCACCCACACCAACATTGGAGCAGCACCTGATGTGGGATGATATCGCTATCCTGGCCAGGTACATGCTTATGCTGTCCTTCAACAACTCTCTGGATGTTGCCGCCCACCTGCCCTACCTCTTCCATGTCGTGACCCTGCTGGTGGCCACGGGGCCTCTTTCGCTGCGGGCATCCACGCATGGCCTGGTTATCAACATCATCCACTCCCTCTGCACATGCTCCCAGCTGAGTTTCAGCGGTAAGATGACATTTTTGCCCTAGAGAGATGTTTTCATGGATCAGTGATTTATTGATTACTGAAGTGCCTTGTTCTTCTGCTGTGCAGAGGAGACCAAGCAGGTGTTGCGTCTAAGTCTGACAGAGTTCTCCCTGCCAAAGTTCTACCTGCTGTTCGGCATCAGCAAGGTCAAATCAGCTGCGGTCATCGCCTTTCGTTCCAGCTACAGGGATCGTTCGTTTCCTCCGGGCTCCTACGAGAGAGAGACCTTTGCTCTGTCATCCCTGGAGACGGTCACAGAGGCATTGCTGGAGATCATGGAGGTATGTCATACTTAATAAGCAGCAAGTGAATAATCACATTTCTTCCGTCTTAAGTAGACTAGTGATGAGGGAAAGACTTTTGCGCTGGGTAGCCTCACCCAAAATGTCATTGGTCAAAAATTCCCACTCTGTATAGGGGTGGTTCATTGCGATTTCACTTTTTTAACGTTAGTTAGTGT